TAGGGTTTAGGGTTTAGGGTTTAAGGTTTGGGGTTTGGGGTTTGGGGCTTGGGGTTTGGGGCCTAGGGCTTAGGGTTTAGGGTTTAGGGTTTAGGGTTGAGGGCTAGGGGTGTCTAGGATGTTCCTAGTGTTTGTCTTTCGCCATCTGCTATCCGCAGCTTCGCCTGGAGTCCGTAACCCTCAACCACGTTCCGGAGCATCAAAGCCTGCAGCAAGCAGTGTGTTCAGAGTTTTAGGGTCTGGGACATCGTGGGCTAGAGGGCTTCGGGGTGGAGGGGTCTTTTGGGTGCAAGGATTGTTGATGTAAGTTTTGCCGCTGGCATAGCTCTTGCTTGCCGTGTCGCAATTTGGGCTACTGCGATTTAGGTCCGCATTATCGTTGCTTTTTTTGATTTTTTTGTTGCATGGTATCTGTTATTGTCGTTAGATCGTCTGCGCTGCGTGTAGCTTCCGCTGTCCATTGTCTCGGATGCTGTGCCGAACATCACCCTAAACCCTAAACCCTAAACCCATCACTAAATCCCTGAACCTTAGCAATCGGCATCACGCCATGCTAGGCTCACTTTTAGGTCGTGCTTTGCCGGGTTTCGCGTTTAGGGCTTAGGGTTCAGGGCCTATGGTTCAAGGTTTAGGGGTCTCGCGTCCAGAGCATTAGGGATTAACTTGGAACTATGCCTAACCGCAAGCAGAAGCGTTGTAGCTGACGGTGGTCGGATAGCACGGGAGTTTGAGGGCTCCGAGTTTTCATAGGCCATAAAGGATTGGTGGCTTCACGTTTAAATTTGCTGCAGGATTCTTTCAGGGTTTGCGGGTATTTTGGGGTTCGGGTCAAACCCTAAACCCTAAGCCCTAACCCACATATCCCGAAAAGTCAAGCATGACAGGCCACCGACCTCATCGCGTCAGCGGCGAGCTGAGGGGGTTAGCCTAAACAGTGAAGTGTGTATATAACCGTTACACATGCAACCCTGAACCCCATATTATTAGGGTTTAGGGTTTAGGGTTTGCAGCCATATTGTTCGGGTCTAGGGTGTAGGGCCATATTATGAGGGTTTAGGGTTTAGGCACACTGAAGCCTTCACAAGCCTAACCGGCTCTTCGCGGGGTTGCGGTGCAGGGCTGCAGTGGGGTATGGCAGGACGTCAGCGATGAGCGATTCGTCAGAGCATTCCTCGACAATCCACAAAGTTAAACCGCACTCTTTTCTAGGTTCCCCAGTAGCACCCTTTTGCCCTTGCTGTTTTGGGGGTCTCCTTGTTAAAGCCGAATATTAGGGAAAAGAAACTCTTATTCTTAAGGGGTTACTGGGGAGCCGATCTTTCATGCAGATGAGTGCCGCACGAGGTGAAGTGCATCGAGATGCCCGATGAGTCAAAGGAGGTACTCAAACAGACCTGGGAGTTTTGGCTCAAGGCGCCTTGGGGGTACTGAAAAGCTCCAATCAGCTTGGGTTTGGATCGTGTGGACAAGGTGGCGGAGCTTCGGGATCGCGGGCTTTCAATTGGTTTCTGTGCCGAGATCTTTTTTATACGCATGCGTGGCTAAACCCTTAACCCCTAAACCCTGAACCCCTAAGCCCTAATTACACCCTAAGCCCTAAACCTGCAAGTTCTGCGTAGTCTGCATCTTCTCTGGCTGCAGGATCACCTGGGAGACGGCGGTGAAATCCCGGTGGGGTCCCGCACTCAGAAACCCCCGTGCGGCCACTCCTGCTGGAACTCCAGCTTTTAGGCTTGAGGGTTTAGGGTTTAGGGGAGTGTAAACTCCATGCAAGGCTTGTGATGTAGGTTCCCCGGCGGCCCTGTTAGTAGTACTAGTAGTACCTTTCTTTCTGGATAGGTCAGGATCCTAACGACCCAGCATGTGATCCGAAAAAAGGTGCTACAACTGAGGGGCTCGGTAGACACCAAGCCGTTGAAACGAGCCCTGGAGCACGTCTTGAGGTGCAGTGCCCTGAGCTCCAAAAATCTGGACCAAAGGCTTTGAAGGCAAACACGAAAATTGGAGCAAATCCCTAAACCCCTAAACCCCT